AGATGTTCCAAAGAGACCTGTCAAGGAAATCTCAGGAGACCAGAAATATAATAATTTCTTGTAAAAGTTTACAATGGGAATTTCAATTAAGAAACTATTCTCTCCTAAAAACACATATCTATATTTTTTGTCTCAAGGAACAAACAAAAATAACATGCTCACACCCTCCTACTGTAAATTCTGCTTTGTGTTTCTTTTCTTTTTTTAAGGCAGCAACACTATGACCATAAAGCCTGAAACCAATCAAATAGACCTTAATTTCACTGGAAGAAATGCATTAATGTTCACTGAAGCAGACAGTATGCCTTCCCTGTCATTTCTTCATGACAACCAGGTTGTATACCTAATCTCCAACACACCAGTTCCATTTTATCACCACTCCTATAAGGGTGAGGAATGGCCCTAGGCCTGCAGGCACATAATAAGCCTGTTTTAGATTTTCCCTGATCACTCATGATTGTCTGTGCAAGGTATAACTGATGTTAGTTATAGTCCAATGTATCTGGAAGATATTCCTCAGTTGTAACATTATGATTCCACTTTAATGGTGATGGTTACATCCCATAAAATCCCAGGGTTGGTGCTCTGGTGGGATGGTAAGGTATTCAATCTTTCTGGTTGAGAATTCTAAATACTCTCTTTAAGCTGTAAATCTGAGGATTAACCATGGACCTTATCCCACGCTGCTCTCAAAAGTGGCAAGAAAGCGATATGAGCATCATTGCAGTACTATAGCGCTAGTATAAATATGGTGCTAGCGCTATAATAGCGCTATGGATAAGCTAGCGCTATTGCAATGCCCGCTGAAACCGACATACAAAAGAACCCGAATGATGCTGCATTCCAAGCGGTTTCTTGTTTGATTCTGAGCGACGTCGTGTAATCACCCGGAAAACTATAGCGCTATAGCGCCTGATTCTTAGTGCATTCTGAGCGACGTCATGTGATCACCAAGGAATGTATAGCGCTATAGCACCTGATTCTTAGTGGATTCTTGCTGCTTTTGGCCCCGTGGGATAAGGTCCAAAGACAGGTCAAGGGGGATCCCAGTGTTGTAACTGTGTTGTTTGAATGGGGGACACATGACATGGAAGGTTGTAGTATACATGGCTGAAGATTGAACCTGTTTCTGTGAAACCGAAGTGAGGTGCACTCCAAGATGGTAAAATGTCTAGAAACCAGACACTATGAAGAAGGGCTTATAGGGAGCTAGATAGGTTTAGCTTGGAAAAGAGAAGACTGAGAAGTGATATGATACCCATCTTTGCATATCTGAAGCAATATCATGTGGAGCAAATTAGTTTTCTGTTGTTTCAGGGACTTTTAGAACATGAACCAATAGATTCAAATTACAAGAACTTACAAGAAAAGAGATCCCATCTAAACAATATGAAGAACTTCCTGATTGTAAGAGCTGTTTGAGTGGGTGATCAACTGTCTCAGATGATAGCAGAGAACACACAACCTAGGGGAAGATATAGCAGTTTGCTTTTGCCTGACACTACTAGAAAGGACAAGATTCTGGCCTCTCCTCTCCTCCCTGCTGACTTAATTGAGTGCTAATAAGTTGTGTACTTTGAAGTCAGTTTGCAATAACTAAAGTAAATTTAGGGCAAATGGAGAATATGGGGTGATGAGAAAGAAACTGGGACATTTTAGAAGCATCTGAAAAGTGGGAAGATAGAAGATTAATTGGAGCTGTCTTTGTCAAACTGGAGAAGTGGAGAAATGTTAGACTTGTAGAACTCGGTTTTCATAACCATTCCCTGAATTCCTCTAAAATACAATGGCCAAAAATACAAGTCCACATGTAAGGAAACTTACAAATGGATCTGGCCATCATTTATATACCTTGTAAACAGTCAAGATTTTAATCATACATACATTACTCTGCATGGTTAGCAATATTTAGAAAATTTAGTAATTCAAGCTGGCAAGCCAAAACAACCCTGTAAATGTTTGATTTCTTCTTAGCAGAGTCACATCTGAACAAGCAGGACAAGTCCACAGATGCCTGCTTGCTCCTCTGAAAAAGCAACAATAGTGCAAATATTATGAACTGATATGTTAACTCCATAAGCAAGAGCCTAACCCTTCCTCTGTTTCTGTAAGACAGTCTTTAGCCAATAATTGCTTGAAAGTGCCAATTGATTGGCTTTATAAACACAAGAAAATGAAAGCAGTCTTTTAATTTCAAAGTTGTGCTTAAGATTTAACAAGAAAAAAGAAAAAAGGAGAAAAGAGCAGCATACTATTAAAGGGAACACAGTATTGCTAAAACCAGGTTTGCCAACCTCTTTACATATTAGAATCCAAGAATAACAACTATGAAGGGAATTATTAACAAACAGCTCTAAAATAGCACAGTCCTTCCCCAGCTCCCTGTGCTCTTCATGTTTTAGGGTTATAGTTAAGTGATGAAAAATTTAGCTAGCCTTTGTAGCAAGTTAAAGAAATCTTATGCAGTAATAACACTACTTTACATAATTGTTCAATTAAAGTTACATCAAGCTGCATGGAGTGAAAATACGTACAGGAAAAAGTGTTGTTTTGTTATTTTTTACAATGCATATGGTCTTGCAGCAAGCATCATTTTGAAAGACAAAATGATTGTAGTTGGACTTGGGAGATCCAGATTTTGGCTCCCACTAAATCTATGTCATCCAACTGTCCCAGTTTGGCAAGGAAAATCCTGATTAATCCACCATTGTCTCACTTTTCCATGTCCCACTTTCTCTCTTCTCCTCCTGCTTTCCCCCTTTGTTTTCAGTTTACTTCAGTTGCTGTAAATTGAGCTCAAAGCACAAAAGTAGTTTGTACTCATGTCAGTGGTAGGAAGATGAGAGGAGAGGACAGCATCCTGCCCTTTCCAGTAAACCCAGGCAAAAGTAAAACTGTGGCAGCCTCTCCTAGCTTGTATGTTCTTCCTTAGTAATAACTTTTGCCATTCTGAATAAGGGGGGAAACAGACGGGCGGCACGGGGCTGCCCTGGGAAGCTGCAGATCGGGGCCGAGGTAGCCGCACTCCTCGGCCCCAGTGTGGCACATCCCAGGCCCAGGAAGGAGCGCTAAAGCCCTCTGGCGCACCTTTGGCACCTCTTCCGCTGCAGTGTGTGCGGACGCTGCAGCAGAAGTGTGTCGTCAAGGCGCTGGCCGTGCGGAGCGACGGGCGCTCCAATGATGTATTCAGGAAGGGTTTGGGGCACCCAGCGTGAGGCTGCCCCTCCCCTTTCTGGCCTCGGAAACAGCGCTTTGCGCCATCTGCTTAGACCCTAATTTCTGATGTTGCTTGACTACATGTGTCCCTGATTTATTTATTTATTTATTTATTTATTTATTTATTTTGAGGGTATGTAAGCCATGAAACTTACTAGGTAGCCCTGGGCTACCCCCCTCTCTCCATCAGATATGTGATTTTCCATTATTGCATGGGGAGGGGTCTGGAACAGATCCCCTGCAAGAATGGAGGGAGGACTATATGTAATATAGCTATAAATAAACCATCTGAAATAAATTTATATTTATATTGGTGTTTTTAGCTTTCATTTTGTAATGCTCTACATTTTTCATGAATGTTTTGCAATTGTGGCACCTTGTCTTCCTTGGTGGTTTTGACATCTGGTCATTATGGTTAAGACCAACTAATGAATTTATGGATCTTTGAGAATATCATCAAGAAATGAGCGCAATTATCTCAATATATATTTTCCTTACACTGCATTTTTTTTTGGGGGGGGAACTGGGAATGATCACTTAGCTTATTGACTGCTAAGGATGGAAAAATAAGTCAATTTCATTTTTCTCCTGCTTTAAGTGTTTCAGACCATACGTTCTTCCACCCCCAATATGAAGACACTTGTGAATTTTGGGAAATTCTATACAAACATATTGACATTAAGTTCTGTGTTGGCCCAATTCTATAGGTGTACCTCTTTTCACTATGGAGATGTCCATGTTGTTGTACCCACTTGACATGCAGCTGTTTAAAAAGAGGGGAGAAGAAAGGGGATGGCAAATAGGAATTTGAAAATCGCTGTCTTGACTTCATTATGTTTTCTCACATTCCACCTCATTTTATTCCCATTCTTGTATGTATGTGGCCGTGAGATTTTGTTGTTTTCTCCCACAATTTTTTTCAGCATTTTATGCATTTTCCTAATTCATACACTAATTGATGCCCTTGATCTAATATATACACTTTTCCATTAGCAAAAGCACATTTATACATATTTTTTTAACTGCATATTTTTTTAGTTCTTCACGTTTTATGCCTTGCTTTGCACACACTTTATTCCTGGCCAGGGGCAACACCTCTGTTATATATCTTATAAATGTGCAAATTCATGTGGCAGGGTGTATTTCTTCTCACAACAAGTTTTGGAGGTCCAGAAAGACTATTTTCATAAAAAGTTGTTGTTGTTTTTTTGCTTTTTTAAAAAAACTTTTCCATTTCTAGTAACAACCCTAATTCAGCACACACACAAAATGGAGTGCAGCCACTTAGATTTTCTTGGATCCTTACTTCAGAATAATTTGGAGTGGTACTTAGGTTGCTGCCACAATGCAGAATTAAAGCAGTTTGATATCACTTTAACTATCATGGCTCCATCCTATAGAATTCTGGGATAGTTTGTTGTGGCACCACTGTGGTCTGACAGTAAACGTTAAATATCATACAAAACTACAAATCACAAAATTCCATAGCATTGAGCCATGGCAGTTAAGCTGGTGCCAAACTGCATTAATTCTTCAGTGCAGATTCAGCCCCTGACTTCTCTGATAGATTGTTCTCATGGGAGTTGGCTAGAGGTTTCTAGCAAAGAATTCTAAATATCTCAAAACTTCCTGTTCTGTGCCTTCAAGTTGTTTCTGACTTATGACCATCCTAAAATGAACTTATCACAGGGTTTTCTTGGCAAGATTTGTTCACGGGGGTTTGCATTTGTATTTCCCTGAGGCTGAGAGTGTGTGACTTGCCCAAGATCACCCAGTGGGTTCCATGGCTAAGTGGGGATTTGAACCCTGGACTCCAGAGTTGTAGTCTAATGCTGAAACCACTAGATCACGTTGGCTCACTCCTCACTGAATGTCAAGCCCCAAAATACCATAAGATAGAATCATAGTAGTTAAGATTGTATCAAACTGTTGTGATTGTCTCATGAGGAAAGAATACACAGTGATCCAAAGCCAGGTTCCAAGAGTTAAATACCCAAATCTTGAACTGATAAATTGCCCATTTTGTCCTCTTATGTTCAAATGTTTTAAATCTCTTCAGTTTTTTCCCATCGTGAATATGAAGTAATTGGTTACAAATTGTAAATTGTTAATAAAAGCCAGCTCAAATGAAAATCTTACCCACTTTTATGACCTGCTACTTGGGGGCTGCCACTAGGGGAACACGATGACACCACATCAACTATGTCACTTTCTAAAATGGATACAAGATTAGTGTAAAGTCCATGCTCTGTCACATATAGTTCTACCCACAATTTTTTTTATTTGAAACCAAATGCTACCCTTTGGGCTGTAATGAAAGCTGCACACAAAGCTGATTTGTCAACACCGCCATAAGCACTGCACAGATTTTACAAATTCTCCATTTCAAGATTTCTGAATTAATCGATCCCTCATTGCACTCCGAGAAATGCTTTCAGCTGTAATGACAACCATTATTAAAAATAAAATGAAGCTTTCAAAAGATTGATTTGGAAACTCTTGGATTATGCAATCAGCTAGGCCAACATAGCTGAAAGTAGCAATAGCAATAGCAAGTACATTTTTATACCACTTATCAGTGCACTTAAGCTCTCCCTAAGCAGTTTACAATGTGTAAACTAATTGTCCCCAACAATCTGGGTACTCATTTTAGCAACCTTGGAAGGATGCAAGGCTGAGTCAACCATGAGACCCTGGCTAGTACTGAACTCACAACCTTGTGGTTTGTGAGAGAATGGCTACAGTACAGGCATTTGACCACTGTGCCACCAGGGCTCCTGGAAAAGTGAAGCAGGCAACCTTTATTGATGAATTAGGAAGGCAACACTTTATTTTAGTCAATGGAGCTGAGAGATTTGGTCCAACCAATGTTTCTACACAAGATAAATCTAATCCATTGATCTGCAGGAGGCATTTACAGAACACCCATCATGGCAGTAATGAGGAGGTAATTGTCCTGAGGAAGAGAAGAAACCTGTAAGCAAAGCTCATTCAGATTCCTGGCAGCTGGAGGGACGTATGAAGAATGATAGAAGAACTTGGCAATATTTAATTAATAGCAAAGAACTAGCAGAGAGGCTGATAAGAGATCTCTAGTGTTTAAAATGCTATTGCAATGCAAACTGTACTCAGTAGACAAAGGGCCTAAGAATTAGGGACAACTGTCCTCCAAGGTGGAAAGCCTATGCTCAGGTGATATCCCAAGGCTAGCTTGTCCCCATCTATAAACTTGTTGTTTCGAAGATCATTGGAGATAGCTACAAATTGATTTATATTCAGCTGGATAAATGTCTGTGGATTAGAGGCAAAGGGTTTCAATTGCAATTGCATGGGATTAGTCTGGATAAGTAGAAAGCTAAGACACACTTCTTGCTTTTACGTTACTGTATACATCCATATAAAACTGGTTTTCACTTTTCTATATGCCTGAGTGTATAGATTCTGTCAGGGTTTTGTTGTTGTTTATTTGAATATTGTAGTTAATACATATAAGTTAAAGATGATAGGGGATTGTGGGTTAGGTAGTAGCAATAGCAAGTAGGTTAGTTAGTATGGGGGTTTGGGAATAGTTGCAGCTGGCTAGGATAGTTTTGAGAATGATAGGCTTTGGAATGTGTGAGATGTGGGATGCGGAGAGTTAGTGTCTGGCAGTAACTGAAAGGAAGGGTAAAGGGTGGAAATGCCTGAGTTTGAGAGAGATAGGGCTGGTGAGAAGGTTTGGAAAGAAGGGTCTGACTTGATGGGGGAAATAGACTATGGGAATTAGAGGTGGGCACTAGATTTGGCACCAAGGGTGTTGGGAGGAGTCTAAAGGTTTGGGGGTTTTAAGATATCATTTGGCTTTGAGGGGGTAGTTCTGGTTTAAACACTAACTGGTGAATTTCAATAAAGTCCTTGTTGCTAAAATACTCTGGACTCATTGATACAAAAAGTTTCTGAATTTACTCAAGTCTGACAGTAAGCCAGAACTTCCTAGTGTCAGGAGTAATGGAGGACTGTATGAGTCCAGATGATCCATTAATCACAATGAAGCAGGAGGAAGGAGTGAGTGGCTTGGCAGGAATGTCTGTGGGACCTGCCAAATCGGATGGCTTGGGAGCCCATCCTAAAGGGATCGCTGTGGCTGGGGAAGGCACCCCCACTCGGTTGGTGGAGGACATGTGGTTCCAGCCATTAGCCCCTACAAAGGGGAAGGAATGCAATAGCCACAGAGCAGGCAGAGTTGTTGGGGTGGCTGAACCCTTAGACTGCACAACATATAGCCCGTGGGCCACTGGCAGGCTGCCAAAGCATTTCTGGTGGCCTGCGGGAAAGAGCCAGGAGGAAGAGGAAGAGGAAGAGGAAGGGAGGAAGGCCAGGAGAGAGGAAGAGAAGGAGTGAGGAAGAGAAAGTTGAGAGGGGAAAGAGGAGGAGACTCCTATGGCCAGGGTTGTTACGGACAGGGTGGGGTCTGTCCTCCTCGGCTCTCAAGGGCTGCCACAAGGGCTGGTCATTCAGCAGCAGTCCCAATGCCTCATGGCCAGGATAGAGGGAGGGAGCTGGCAGAGAAGGAGGAAGGTGAGGGTCCACCTGAGGGCAAGGGGCCTTTGGCAGCAGGGGGCTCTGGGACCAGCCGCCCAACTCTGGATGACTGGAAAGGAAGGAGCGAGCTTGGCTCCCCATAATGAGATACTGGCAGCAGTGGGAGGGAGTTCCTCCTTCCTCCTCTTCCTGCTCCTTGGGCTCCAGCTGCCTTTGGAATGGGCAGTGGAGGGCAGAGGAATGACTGCAGTTAGTAGTGTTGTTGTCTGCCTTCAATAACTGCCTTCAAGTTGTTTCTGACTTATGGCAACCCTAAGGGAAGCCTGTCACAGGGTTTTCTTACCAAGATTTATTTAGAAGTGTTTTTGCCAGTGTCTTCTCTGAAGCTGAGAGAATGTGATTTGCTTAAGATCACTCAGTGGGTTTCCATGGCCAAGCTGGTATTCAAACCCTGGTCTCCGGGGTGATATTCCAATGCTCAAATCACTACACCACATTGGCTCTTTCTTGAGGCTTTGTTGTTTTTTTCTGATGTGGCTTCAAATCATTGCCTACTTATGGCAAGCCTAAGGCAATCCTATCCTGGAGTTTTCTTGGCAAGATTGGTTCAGGGAAAGTTTGCCATTGCCTTCCCCTGAGGCTGAGAGAGTGTGACTTGCCCAAGTTCACCCAGTAGGCTTCATGGCAGAGTGGGGAAATCTGTGGTTATGAAGGGCTGACTATATATTTTACACAAGAGTTTTTGATGAAAAACATGCTGTACTTGCAGAACCTACAATTATGTGCAAATTTACATTTATTTATTTATTTATTTATTTATTTATAAAAATGAATTGTAACTGAATTTTTAAACAAAACAAAACAAAAAATCCATAGAAAAATGCCCAAGTTGCCATTTGTCCAGTAAGGGGAGAAACACATTTTTCATAGTCTTGCATGAAAACAAAATAAGTGAAGTGAAGATTTAATTCTCTAAACTGGTAACAGATTAATTTTTGTTTGCTCTGTCCTTATGTTCTCATATATTTGATGTACAATTAAAGCCAAATGATGTTTCCCCCCCTCTAAATCTATTTTTATCCTACCCAATCTCTCATTTACAGATTCTGGTAAAATCCTTTTTTGTTATTTACCCACCTGCGTAGGCTGCCCATAGAATTTAACCCAGCAAGAATAATTATGATGTGCACTCCCATTTAGGGACAATCTCATACACACACAATTTTGATTAATGGATACCATCTCTTCAACAATGACAGGTGCCACAGAATATTACTTATGCAAAGAATGAAACCACCCAAACCTTGTGTAGTAGCATTTAGTTCCCCAGCAGCAATGCAAAACAGACCAATCTGTCCGATATAGATAGGTGTGTTTATAGGCTTGAAGCCAAATACAGAGAAGTGGGGACATGTTGTGAGCCATGCTAGCAATAAGGAATGACAATATAATTACTCATTCACAGAGCATGAATCATGAAGAGAGGGAAGATATGGTGGCCCAATTTTCTCCAGTTCCTAATGTCCAGTGCACCAGAGGAGGAGGAAATAATCATAAGAGGGGAAAAAAGGATAAATAAAAAAAGAATATAGATGTATCTTTGCTAACTTGTTATACTAGTGCCATACCACTTTAATTGTCATGGGTTCATCCTAAGGGTTTATGGGTTCTATAGTTTGGTGAGGTATTTATTTATAAAGCTGGTTGAGAGCCAGTGTGGTGTAGTGGTTTGAGCATTGGACTACAACTCTGGAGATCAGGGTTTGATCCCCTGTTCAAACATAAAAATCTGTTGGGTGACCTTGAGCAAGTCACACTCTCTCAGCCACAGAAGATGGCAATGGTAACCCCCCTCTCAATAAACTTTTCATGAAAACCCTATGAAAGATTCACCTTAGAGTTGCCATGAGTAAAAAAATGACCTGGAGGCATACCACTACAACACTAGAGCTGGTTGAGAGCCAGGGTTGTGTAGTGGTTTGAGTGGTGGACTACAGCTCTGGAGACCAAAGTTTAAACTGGGTGACCTTGGGCAAGTGACACTTTCTCAATTTCAGGGGAAGGCAAAGGCAAAAAACCCTCTGAACAAATTTTGCCATGAAATCCCTGTGATAGGTTCACCATAGGGTTACCATAAGTGGGACACAACATGAAGCCACACAACAACAACAACATAGAGTTCTAGTCCACTCTCTTGAACTATAGTTCATAAGGTACTCTGAATGTCTGTTTACATTGTGCAGAAGTGATGGCTTCTTGGTCAGAGGGGATGCAAATGTGGACATGAATCTGCCCTAAGGTGCTGTATCATTGTCTCAAAATAAGTCCAGTTTGG